TTACAGATGACATATCATCTGTAACGTTACAATAATGTAGAGCTTGGGGAATATGTCATCTGTAACGTTACAGTAATGTAGAGCTCGGGGAATATGTCATCTGTTACATTACAGTATTGTAGAGCTTGGGAAATATGTCATCTGTAACATTAAAGTATTGTAGAGCTTGGGGAATATTACAGATGACATATTCCCCCTCATCTGTAACGTTACAATAATGTAGAGCTTGGGGAATATGTCATCTGTAACGTTACAGTAATGTAGAGCTCGGGGAATATGTCATCTGTTACATTACAGTATTGTAGAGCTTGGGAAATATGTCATCTGTAACATTAAAGTATTGTAGAGCTTGGGGAACATATTCCCCAAGCTCTACATTACTGTAATGTTACAGATGACATATTCCCCAAGCTCTACAATACTGTAACGTTACAGATGACATATTCCCGAGCTGTACAATACTGTAACGTTACAGATGACATAATCCCCCAGCTCTACATTACTGTAACGTTACAGATGACATATTCCCCGAGCTCTACATTACTGTAACGTTACAGATGACATATTCCCCAAGCTCTACATTACTGTAACATTACAGATGACATATTCCCCAAGCTCTACATTACTGTAACGTTACAGATGACATATTCCCCGAGCTCTACATTACTGCATCATACTAATAAAAGCACTAAAAGTGTTTGTTTTATCATTGTATATATATATTTCTTCACTGTAGACTGTAATTTTCTGTTGTTTCCTTTGTTACTACACATCTCAGCTTTTTTTATTATCCCAAGAGAGAAAGCTGTTGGCATTGTACTTTAACTAGCATGTATTATATGACCTTCTAGGTATGGTTATGTGTATTTGATTCTCATTCCTATCTGCATTAATAAAATCTTGTAATTTTTATAACTTAAGCAAACAAGAATTTTTTTAATGTTCATTCCATGGAAAAATTTAATTTTAAGTCTTGTGATACTTTTTTTTTCCCTTTCATATCCTTGTATTGAGAATGTGGACTGTTTGCACATTTCTTGTAAATTTTTGACAGTGATACACAGCACACAAACAGTCAGCCTTTACTGGAGAAAACAAAACTCAGTCTAATCTACTTTCAGAGCTGTTAATAACAGGGATGTTTATGTACAGAAATACCAAGTCTGGAGAGAAGAAACTATATAAAATCTGGAATGGAATTTTAGCGGTGTATAGTTTTACTGGTAAGTAAAATATGTGTATGGAAATTCAACAAATATTTTGATGTTTGTAGGTTTTATAGATACCCTTATTTGTGATATGAATAGCTGAAATTTATCAGACTTTCATGAGTTTGAACCAAAGATGTTGTTATTGTTCTTGCTTGGATTGAACTTGTAAGCTCTTTGGAGTTTATTTGGAAGTGGTTAATCTTCTCTATTAAAACACTGAATTATGTGTTCAAGATTAACAAAAACTTATTATTCTCACTCACTCTTTGCTTTACGTGCCAATGTTTGCAAGAAACTTTCATTAGTTTGTTCTTTAACCATATTAACTATAAAACTTACTAAGGTATTATTAAGTTGTTAAAAAAGTAAGCTTTCTAGTTCATACATGGGTGGCAGGATTAATAGTTTCCTTTTGCAAGTAGCAATTTAAATATATAAATGAATGAAGTGTCTGTAAATCTACATGTGTGGTTCTTTATAATTCTTATGTGTGTGCCGGGTGGAACTTAAGGTGTGTCAGACAATCCTAAATGGTATCCTGAACTTTCTAGCTGGATGGTATTGAGACCATCCGATACTGTCTGACAGGATCACCCAGTGCTTAGATTCTCTGTCTATTTACATCTCAACAGGATGTAAACTGAGGATTATTATAAATAAATGAATCTGTAAACATCTCTGTATTTAGTGTTATGTGTGTTGGATGATTTTTAATGACAGATTTTAATTGCATCCTCTAGCTGTTAGTGAGTTTACATGTAACAGGGTTTTAAAAGAAGGTCAAAGATCAGATATTTGAACCTTTCTCTCATGTTTAGTAGGAAGAGATTAACATTTTATTTTGCCCATTCATGATGTTAGAAAAACATGTAGGTTCAAAAAGTCTTGATAGAAATGAATATAAACCCTATAACTCGAGCGCTTTCGAAAGGTGGACCTTTCTTCTTCTGGGAACGGTGGTGTAAAATCGAATGAGTGATATACATAAAGAGAGTTTAGTGACGTCATGAAGGTCTTCCGGTTTTCCAGGAAATGTTTAGTCTATTTCTCTATGTACTGTTGTAAGCGTCTCATTTTCAGTACAATGTAGCCGATGGCGAGAGTGTAGATGGAAAGATGTTATGGATATTTTACATTAGAAATGGCTAAATATATGTATATTTAAAACTATACTTATGTGTTTAAGTAATATAAAGATGACACCTGAAGACTGATTGAAAAATATATGCTAATCAATTTATAACAAAAACAGGTATGAAAAATTATCTTAAATAAATAGTAAGTTTTAGGAAATTCAGCATTCACATTACATGAAAAAATAAGCAAAAAATAAAAATTATTTTTCTGACAGAGATGAAACCAATGAACAGAGATCACTGACTCCAGGGTCTAGATTAATTCGCAAAGGTTGAACAGTGTTTAGATTAGCAATCCAATAAGCTTCTTTTATTTCTCTATCAGTTTTAGTTTTGAATCTTGTTTCAGTGCTGATGAGAGTAACATCGTTAATGGAATGACCGGGTTGGTTAAAGTGTTGAGCAACAGGGAGATCTTTTTGTTGTTAATAGAAGATTTATGGTTATTGAAACGTTCTCTAAGAGTTGTTTGTGTATGTCCTACATATTGGTAATTGCATTTTTTACACTGTACAAGGTAAATGGTGTTTTTTGTTTCACAAGTGATTTCTTTGGATATTTTATAGTTTCTTTGATTGTGCTTGTCAGAAAATGAGTCAGTAGTTTTATAAACTTATAGGTTTGACAACGGGCTTTATTACATGGACGATAACCATTTTTGGGTGGGATGTAATTCACTTTTGTGTGAACAAGGATATTTTTAAAATTCTGCTTTTTCAAAAGGAGACAATGGGAACTTCAGGAAATATCTGTTTAAGACGATCGTTCAGTTGTAGGAGATGAAAATGTTTATTCAGAATTCGTGAAACATTTCTGAGTTTAAACTGATAGGTAATAATAAGAGGAATTCTATTTGAAAGTTTAGTATTGTTCTGATTTAGGGTGTTTTTACACTGAGTGTTGTTAGCCTTTTTAATAAGTCTTATTTTGTCTTGAGAAAAGAAGGGTAAGAGGTGACTTTTTTTGAAGTTTACAGAATTATTAAAATTATTCAGAGATTCGATTGGATAAAGGCCTAGGATTTCTCTGTGTTCCATTTTTGAAGGTAAATATGAGAGAACATAAGTGTAACATTCAAAAAGACAAGCTGGGCTTCAGTTAAGACATTGCTGTTTTTCGATAAGGTAATTCTATTGTGGAATGAGTGGCAGTTGGCATGGCAACTATACAAAAAGTTGAAGATTTCCTGAAAAATAAAGGTAGAGCTTAAATTTTTTCTTTTCTCCAGGGTGGATGTGTAAGGAAAGTAGCCTTGAAGGACCAAATGGTCCCTTGTTGTCTCTGTGTTATATACTACACTTGAGAAGAACCAGAATTATTTATGTATTTATTACACTAACCATTAGGATTGAAGTAATGTGTTGTTCAATAAAACTAAATACATCCATAAAGTCCTGTTATATGTACATTCTTTCACATATGTTCAGGTGATTAACTTTAAAACTTTATGAAACTTGAGAAATATGGCAGGGGTTACAGTAATGAAGACGTTGAGTATGTCATCTGTAACGTTGCAGTAATGTAGAGCTCGGGGAATATGTCATCTGTAACGTTGCAGTAATGTAGAGCTCGGGGAATATGTCATCTGTAACGTTTTACCTTGATCTTGTGACGGATTCTCAAATGATGATAATGCATTTTATACAATTCCAGTTTGTTAGTTTAAATTTACCAAAGATTTTATTCATTATCATCATCTGAGAATCCGTCACAAGATCAAGGATAACATTATCATCATCTCAGAAGCCGTCACAAGATCAAGATAAAATTATCATCATCATCTGAGAAGCCGTCACAAGATCAAGGTAACATTATCATCATCTGAGAAGCCATCACAAGATCAAGGTAACATTATCATCATCATCTGAGAAGCCGTCACAAGATCAAGGTAACATTATCATCATCTGAGAAGCCATCACAAGATCAAGGTAACATTATCATCATCTTCTGAGAATCCGTCACAAGATCAAGGTAACATTATCATCATCTGAGAAGCCGTTACAAGATCAAGGATAACATTATCATCATCTCAGAAGCCGTCACAAGATCAAGATAAAATTATCATCATCATCTGAGAAGCCGTCACAAGATCAAGGTAACATTATCATCATCTGAGAAGCCATCACAAGATCAAGGTAACATTATCATCACCTGAGAATCCATCACAAGATCAAGGTAACATTATCA